CAAATGATTGAGCTCTGTTTGTGCACTCAGTTAAATAGGATGGCTTTCAGTCAGGTAGAAGCAAGTAGAGTCCTAATGAATCTTTGAATCTTGAGTCAGGGGTGTGTGTGCAAGGAGGTTCAGTCAATTTCTGGAACATGCTCAAAGTCTCTTAATTTATTGGAGATGTTTTTGTTCTCAAAAAAAGCTGTCGCTAAGCCAAATAAGCCAGAGTTCCTGGGACATAACAGGTGCTCAGGGAATTTATTAGTTGAATCAAGTTATCACTCATGGAAAGTGAAAAGTGAAAGTCATTCAGTCATGCCCGACTCTCTTTGTGACCCCATGGACTATACAGTCCATGGAATTCTCCAGGCCAGAATACTGGAGTGGTTAGCTGTTTCCTTCTCCAGGGGACCTTCCCAACCCAGGGATTGAACTCAGGTCTCCCACATTGCAGGTGGATTCTTTACCAGCTGAACCACAAGGGAAGCCCAAGAATACTGGAGTGGGTGGCCTATCCCTTCTCCCGTGGGTCTTCCCGACCCAGGAATTGAACCAGTGTCTCCTGCATTGCAGGCAGATTCTTTACCTGCTGGGCTCCTGGGGAAGCCCAGTGATGCTGAAAGATCAGCCTCTGTGCACTGGTGCCAAATCTGTTGCTGGAAGGGGGACCCCTTCCAGGGCCTGAGAGTGGGCTCTTATCTAACACTCAGCAATGAATTGTTGGAGGAAATACACGTGCTGACAAAGCAAGAGACTTTATTGGGAAGGGGACTTGGATGGAGAGCAGCAGGGTAAGAGAACCCTGGAGAACTGCTCTGCCACGTGACTTGCTGTCTCAGGTTTTATGGTAATGAGGTTAGTTTCCAGGTTGTCTCTGTCTGATAATTCTGACTCAGGGTCCTTCCTGTTGGCGGTTGCATGACTCAGCCAAGATAGAATCCAGTGAGAAGGATTCTGGGAGGTTGGTAGGATCTATGTACTGGCATCTCCTCTTTTCTTTTGACCTTTCCTGAATTCTTCTGGTTGATGCTAACTTGTTAGTTCTACATTCCTTTCGAGGACCTCCTGTTTAACACAACTCATGCAAGTGGTTCCTATGGTACCTGGCCAGGGCAAGTGGTTTCAGTCAGCGGTTCCCCTAACAAATCAAATCTTGGAGACAGAGTTTTGGGTGAAATAGAAAAGAATAGCTTTATTGCTTTCCCAGGCAAAGGGGAGCCCTTGAAACTGTGTGTCCCAACCCTGAAGAATTTGGTGAGGATTTTTATAGCAGTGGTCCAAGGGTGGTGTTGCTGATAGGCTTAGGATGTGTGCATGGCATGCACTCAGGTAATCTTAAACCAGGACCCTGCCCCAAGGCTGCACTATTGCTTCTTGGCTGTTCCTCTCCTGTCTCTGTATCCCCTTCCTTCTCTGATTAGCAACTGTTTGAACCTGCCCTTTGGAACTCAGTGGAGATCATGGAGGCTGAACAGAAAGGCTCCTGTGCCCCGGAGCCCCACAGGGTCCTGCTTGGTTTCAGAAGGAACAAGGACAAAGCAATTTAAAGGTGTTATTTCCTTAAGATCTTATGGAAAAACCAGAAAGAACTTTTTGGCCAACCTGATACAAATCAGCAGGAAACAAGGCTCAAGTCTTGGTCCATAGAGAATTAAGATTAAAAAAAAGACTATTTTGAAATATTTATGAGATCATAAAGCTAGTGTTGAAATGCCATTTGAAAATGTGTTTAATAGACGAAAAACAAGGCATTGTCTGTACTCAGTCACCCAATCCAATGTGCCCTGCCCAATAGATCCTGCAACAGCCAGAAATCTCTCAGGTATAAATTTCCTAAGTAGAATTCAAACTGTTTCCTTTCCATTTCCCAACACCTTTGGTTTTGGCTTCTCATTTTAGAGTTTTAAAGATGGAATAACAGTCATTTCACGATTATGCTCTGAAGTTCGTTGTGTCCTTATTTTTGCATGATGTGTATTTTTAGGCTGAAGTGAGCAGATAACTAGACAGCCTGCAGGCTTCTTTCCTGGTTCTGCTTAACAGCTGCCATCAGCATTTCCAAAGGAGTTGGGGGGGTTAGGTGGTGTGTGGGGGGGCGGTGACAGTGGTCAGTCAGCATTAAGAGTGAAATGATAAGATAAAGATACTCAATAAGTTGTAAAAGCAGAGCTCAAGTCTCCAGACCTCAGTTTTTCTTTCTTGGCAAGGTGATAGCTGCAGCCTTGTGCATTTAATTTACAGCACAAAAAAGAAAACGGAGAGAGAGAGAGAAAAAAAAAAAACTTATCATTCATGTAGTAGTATTGGTGATCATTCTCACCATATTTCCCAGAGCGGAGGCGGGCTGGAAGATTTGATGTACCTTCTGAAGACCTGAGTTCCCCTGAGGCTCCCACTGTGTAAGGAAGTTGATCATTTATGATCATTTGGATTGAATGTTCTAGATCCTTGTTCTTCTATGTTTACTCTTATTATTTGATACAATATTGCCCCTAAGTGCCGCCCAGCTAACTCCTCTCATGTTTAGCTGAATAATAACCATCTTTATTATCACTGAAATTAGGAGGGAAATGGCTATGTTGGGTTTGAACTTTGTACTCCAGTACCTTCTGGATGATTTAAGAACTTTTCAAGAGTAATTTTAAGTGTCCTTGGTTGCCACCGATGTGCTGATTTTGTGTTTTTCTGTTTGTTCTTTTCTGATTTTGTTTTTGGAGTATAGTTGATTTACAGTGTTGTGTTCATTTCAGGTATACAGCAAAGTGATTCAGTCATAGCTGTATTTTCTTTTTTCAGATTATTTCCCCTTATAGATTATTACAAGATATTGAGCACAGAGTCCCCTGTGCAGCTGTCCCCTACCAACAGTAGGTCCCTGATGGTTTTCTGTTCTGTAACAGGAACTCTAAGTATGATATGACTGCCTTGCTCATATGACTGCAGCCCAGAGGGATGGTAGTAGCAATGGGCTTGGAGCACAATGGAAATAGTGAGGAGACAGCTGCATCAGGAACAGAGGCTGTCAAATTTCACTGAAGGGAGCCGGTGTTGGGGAATGTTGGGGCCATGTCAGGGGGCTCGGAAGGCATGATACATTGGACATCCTCCAGATGGAAGGCAGGACTGGAGCTAAGGGTGGCAAGAGTGGGATGCGCTTGGCCTTGCAGGGGAAGAGGGATATGAAGGGCGCTGTGTGCTAGGCTAGGGCACTTGGACTTGATCCCAGAGACACATCTAGCAATCACTGCTTATATTAGGCAAGCAAGACAGATCCATGCCCCATTCTCGCAGAGGTGACAATTGGGCTGGCTACTCTTAACCATTTGAGGGTTTTAAGCAAGGGAGAGGCCAAGTTGGATTGGTTGTGCATTCACATGCTCACACACATACACCTCAAGCAATTACAATAAGTTCCACTTATGAACATCGCAGATTTTTAAAAATGCAGAATGTGCATTCACATGTCTAACCATAGAAGTCAGTCCTGTGTCTGGCATACACTGTCACGTGTGCGTTGTCTACAAGTTGGTTGTGCTTTTGCGTACTTCACTATGCAGCACTGGATAGAGGACAGTGGTGCAGTATCTTTATTTCAAGCCCAGGATATCTGGAAGCAAGCTCAAAAGCAGCGGTCATGTAGCTGTTACTGTTGTATTTTTCAAGGTTCTGTACTGTAGGGTTAAAAATGTTTTCTTTATTTTTTTGTGTTTGTTTCCTTTTTATGTATTATTTGTGCGAAAAGTGTTATAAACCTATTACAGTACAGTGATATATAGCTGATAGTGTTAGCTGGGTACTTAGGCTAACTTTGTTGAACATACCAATAAACTGGACTTGTGAATGAGCTCTCTGAATGGAACTCATATGTATGTTTTGGACTTACTATATTATTTTTAATAATATAGCACCTGGTCAAAGTATCTAGCCATGCAAAAGGGTGCGTGATGAGAAGATAGTCTCTCCCCAGCTCTGGTCCCTAGTTCTCTTTAGACAGAATCATTGTTATCTATTTCTTCTGTATCTTTCTACAGATATTCTATACACACATGCTCTATATACACAGGGTTGGTTCTTCACTTTGCTCTCTTTTCATTAACAGTGTGTATTGAGTTCATTATAAATAACTTCACAGTGATCTGCATTTTTTTCACAGCATCAGGGCTCGATTGCCTCATCTGCACTGTAATATGACTGATCCCCTACTGTTGCACACGGAGGTCAGTTTAAGTTTTTTTGCTTCCTCGGTGCTCACTCTTGGATGCCTGTTTTGCGCTGATACCTGAGTGTGCTTTTAGAATCAGTTCTGAGAAGGGATGTTATTTGATCACAGAGTTTGTGCATTCTAAATCTGCTAGTGGTTGCTGCTTTGCCCACAGAAGAGCTTGTGCCTGCTTCCCCAGTCTAGTGTGTTTATTTCTTGAAGCCTATGGCAGACTTTCCAAATAGTCTACATTGAAAAGATGGTCACATTAGAAAGTTGATTACCATTTCATGTATTTAAAAGCTCAATTGTATTTTGAGGGGTATGGACTGTAATTTTATACTGATCTCTATTTGGGTTGATGGAACTTCCCTGGTGGTGCAGATAATAAAGAATCTGTCTGCAATGCAGGAGACCTGGGTTTGATCCCTGGGTCGGGAAGATCCCCTGGAGAATGGAATGGCAACCCACTCTAGTATTCTTGCCTGGAGAATCCATGGACAGAGGAGCCTGGTGGGCTACAGTCCATGGGGTCACAAAGAGTCAGACATGACTGAAGCGACTAACATTTACTCTTTCTTTTCTGCTACCCTTGGTCCCAGCCCTGGTCCCAGTCTCAGTTCTGATATTTGAGGCTGATAGACGAATGTATTTTAGGTGGATTGCCTCTAGAGGACAGTTCAGAAGATATGTATCATTAACTTTTGATTTAATGAATCTTTTGATTGATTTAAAGTTTTGACCACAGCAGCAACCTGTTCCATTTTAATTTTTTGTTTTCCTATCTTTTTTCTCTGTTTATTTTTTGATAAAGGGACCATCTAGAAGCTGCGGGTCATGTGTGTATTCTGAAAGATGCCTTTGACTTTGAAAATCCATCTGAAATCTCAAACTTCATCAAGGCAGAGAACCTGGAGGCGGCAGTGGCTCTGCATCTGTACAGAGGAGGCAGACTTTTGCGAGGTAACCCCCTCTCTTCAGAGGTGAAATGCTAGCAGTCAGGAAAACCAGGAGTGCCTATAATTTCAACTTGAAACATAGATGAAACAGTTTATCCCATTTATCCGGCTCCAAAATGGAAGGAACACAGTCATCTTTTCAGTTTGTTCTTAACAGAGTGCTTTTCTAAAATGATGTAACTGCACCAGTTGAGATTGGATGTATATCGAAGCTGTTTTTACTACATTAAGAGTCTTATCGTGAATGTTCTTGATGTGTTTTTCTTCACTCAAAACCTAATGTTCAAAAGTTAAAAATGAGACTCTTTCACAAAATGTAGAAGTGAGCACATAGGAGAGAGTTTATTCAATTGTTTTAGTTATGAGGGAACTACTAAGATGCTAAAGCCAGTTGAAAGAGCATTTGGGGAACTGAGACTTGAGTGGGCAATTTAGTAGAGAATATTAGGATGAGGACTTCCCTGGTCCAGTCATTAAGAATCTGCCTGTCCATACAGGGGACACAGGTTCAATCCCTGGTATGGGAAGATTGCACACACCTTGGGGCAACTAAGCCTGTGTCCCACAACTACTGTGCTCGTGTTCTGCAATTACTGAAGCCGGTGCACCCTGGAGCCCATGCGTCACAGCAGGAGAAGCCACTGCTCTGAGAAGCCTGTGCACCCCAACAAGCAGTAGGCCCCCGCTTGTGGCAGCTAGAGAAAGGCCGCACTCGGCAATGAAGACCCAGAGCAGCCAGAAATAAATAAATAATAAAATTTTAAAAAAGGATATTAGGATGGGCTTGGCTGTAGAACTGGTTAACGTCTAGCAGGGCAATCACTGTAAGCTTTGGGGCCGAGCTCCCTGTCTATGCAGCAGCCTCCCACTGGCTATCTGTTTACACATGGTAGTGTATATATGTCATTGCTGTTCACCCAACTAGTCCCCTCGACCCCCGTTACCCCACCCCAGTCCACATGTCCGTTCTTTATGTCTGCGTCTCTATTCCTACCCTGGAAATAGGTTCATCTCTACCGTTTTTCTAGATTCCACATATGTAAATTGATACAGCCACTGTGGAGAATAGTATGGAGGCTCCTAAAAAAGCTAAAAATAGCACTATTATATGACCCAGCCATCCCATTACTGGGCATATACTCTGAGAAAACCATCATTCAAAAGGCCACGTACCCCAGTGTTCATGGCAGCTCTATTTATGATAGCCCCGACAAGGAGACAACCTGATGTCCGACGACAGATGAAGGATAAAGTTGTGGTACATATATATTCAATGGAATATTACTTGGTCATAAAAAGGAATGAAATTGAGTCATTTGTAGTGATGTGGATGGATCTAGAGTCTGTCATACAAAGTGAAGTAAGTCAGAAAGAGAAAAACAAATATTGTGTATTAACGCATATATGTGGAATCTAGAAAAATAATCCTGATATCTTTCTTGAGTGCTTATTAACTTACAGTGGTCTCCCAAAGTTCCCTAGGTGTCCCTCTCTCTCTATAATTCCCTACTGGGAACTCTACAACTGCCTATATAACTATCTCAGTCTATTCCTGATTACTACTTCACAGAGTAAGTACTTTTAATTAATAGTAAATACTGAAGTCACACAACAGTCTTAGAAAACGAATCCACAGGGAAACTTTAAACACTGCTTTCTTGGACCTTGAAAGGATGTGCAGGCAATCATTCTCTTGGCTTTATCTACAATTTTTGGTATTTCTTCTTTTCCCTTCCAAGGTCAGTTTGACTTCACTGAAAGCCCAGTGGGTAACGAGTGGAGGCAGGACAGATAATTTTGTTGTTGAGTCACAAGTGGCTTTTTCCAAACATGAATTAAATGACTCGGCAGTGGCAGCTTTTCAGGAGATAGCATGTCACTTGAGGCCCCACATTATAGTAATCATCATACGGGGTGACACTTCACTCAGCAAAATGTATCAACTCCTGAAATATTCAGACATTTCATTGCTAAAGGTGACTTCCTGTTTCCCTACACTATATCAAGCCTTATTAATATTCTAGCTCTTTCTCCCACTCCTGCACCATAGGAGGTTGGACCCTCTTTTCCCATATAGGTATCACTTAATGGTGCAGTGGTAAAGAATCCTGCCTGCCAAAGCAGGAGATGCAGGAGACAAAGGTTCAATCCCTGGTCCAGGAAGATGCCCTGGAGAAGGAAATGGCAACCCACTCCAGCATTCTTGCCTGGGAAATCCCATGAACAGCAGAGCCTGGCAGGCTACAGTCCGTGGGGTTGCAAAGAGTCAAACATGACTGAGCACGCACACATACAAATGGTATATTTAAGCACACAACTTAGCGATCTTTCCAAATCAGTGCTTATGCTGACCATTTGTCACTCCCAATCGTCTGCTTAAAAAAAAACAAAAACTCACAGTTTCCTGAATCTGGCTTCTTAAAGCCACCTGATATCTGCTCCTTGCTAGATTCAAGCCTAAAGCCTATTCTCAACAAGAAACAAAGGGAAAGATTTGTCAAAACCTTGATTTCTCCTTCCTGTGTAATGTATTCACAGATTCTGGGAATTATGGATGGACATTTTTCGGGGCCATTATTTTAACTGCCACAGACCCTTCTCTGGTTCCCAAAGGTTCATGTCCATCCCATGTGCTAAAATCTGAACATCCCCCAAAGTCTAATTCCCTGGCAGAAGGTAAATCATCTGTACTTGGTGTGCTTTTCCATGTCTGGCTGTATGTATTTTTGGAAAAGGTCACACCTGTCAATAGTAAGAAAGGCAAGCAATATAAAATGTTATAGAGAGAAAAAGTAAGTTTCTTCACCATCCCAGATCTGTGATCTTCTGGGTTCCTTTTTTTTCTTCCACACCGAGCAGTTTGTGGGATATTAGTTCCCTGACCAGGGATCGAACCCATGCCCCTGGCAGTGAAAGCATGAGTCCTAATCACTGGACCACCAGGGAAGTGCCCTGGATTCTTTCCATAGAAGCATTGGTGTCTAGGTTTTTCTGTTTATCTTTTCAAAGATATTCTTTGTACAGAGAAATGTATGTTGATCATTTTACTACACACATTGTGTTCATCAAAATGCTCTTGATTTTTTTTAACTTAAATTCCTTTTTAAAGTTTTCATTTGAATTTTTTACTTACCGCCTTTCTATACCTCCTGTGTGTTGTCAGAGTGCTTAGTATCTAAAGGCTGTGAAGTGAGAGGCACTTCACCAGAAAGAAAAAAGATAAAATCTGCTCCTTTTCATGACAAAAGACTTCTAAGGTAAATACAAGGAAAGATCACTACCTTTTTGCTGCAATGTTGAATCTCTGTAGCGATGGTTTGTTTGAGAAACCCCAGTATGAACTCAAATTAGATCTGGTCTGTTTAGTGGTTTGCTTTTGCTCTTTTGAAATTTTTATTGACCTTTGGAAGTCCTTCTGGGAAGCCCTATTTGATGAGCACGTTGTTTAACTTGATCTGTGCATGCTCCATGCCTTTTGAGATTACCAAGGCAGGAAATGTGCCTTCCATCAGTTTAGGGCTCATCAGTCAGAATAAATATGCTCCTGGGGGGAGGGGTGGAATCTTTTTGCACTTGACATTCACAGCATCTCAGATATTTTTGGTTCCCATACATTTGTGCCCTCCGTGATTTATCATACTGGCGTGTTCCTGGAAGATACAGTCTATGTCTCTTTCCTTTCCCTCCTGGTTCCTCGCCGTCATGGTGGCTGATATGAACAGCAGGTCTGCATTTGAAGCCTTCTTTTTCCGTCGTAAACACCAGCAGTTCCAGATTAACCCATTTCCCAGGGACGGTACACTTGGCTTTCTTTGTTTATTCTAATTTTTATTTTTAATTGGAGGACAATTGGCTTACACTGTGGTGTTAGTTTCTGCTGCACAACAATGTGAATTGCCTGTTTGATATATGTATACATATATCCTCCCCCTGCTGAGCCTCACTCCCGCCTGCCCCATCCCACCCCTCTAGGCCATCACAGAGCAGCAGGCTGAGTTCCCTGCACTCTTCAGCAGAGTCCCACTAGCTGTCTATTTTACACCTGGTAGTATACATATGTCAGTGCTGCTCTATCAGTTCATCCCACCCTCCCCGTCCTGGCTATGTCCACGTGTTCACTCTCTACATCTGTGTCTCTGTTCTTGCCTTGCAAATAGATTCATCCGTTCCATACTTCTAGCTTCCAAACATTTGTGTTAATATTGCTATTGTTTAGTCACTAAGTCATGTCCGACTCTTTTGTGACCCCCATGGATTGTAGCCCATCAAAGTCCTCTTGTACATGGGATTTCCCAAGCAATAATACTGGAATGGATTACCATTTCCTCCTCCAGGGGTTCTTTCCAATCCAGGGATCAAACCTTCATCTCCTGCATTAGCAGGCAGATTCTTTACCACTGAGTCACCAGGGAAACCTCATGCATTAACAGACAATATTTGTTTTTCTTTTTCTGACTGACTTCACTCTGTATGACAGACTCTGAGTTCATCCACATCACTACAGTTGACTCAGTTTCATTACTTTCGTGGCTGAGTAATATTCCATTATAATATATATATATATGTATACATATACATATATATATATCACAACTTAAAAAATTAATTTATTTTAATTGGAGGCTAATTACTTTACAATATTGTGGTGGTTTTTGTCATACACTGACATGAATCAGCCACGGGTATACGTGTGTCCCCCCCATCCTGAAAACCCCTCACACCTCCCTCCCCATCCCATTCTTCTGGGTTGTCCCAGTGCACCAGCTTTGAGTGCCCTGTGTCAAACATTGAACCTGGACTGGCGATCTGTTTCTTATACGGTATATGTATATCACATGTATATTACATACATGTTTCAATGCTATTCTTTCTAATCATCCCACCCTCACCTTCTCCCACAGAGTCCAAAAGTCTGTTCTTTACATCTGTCTCTTTTGTTGTCCTGCACATAAGGTCATCATTACCATCTTTCTAAATTCAATATATATGCGTTAATATACTATATTGGTATTTTTCTTTCTGACTTACGTCACTTTGTATAATAGGCTCCAGTTTCATCCACTTCATTAGAACTGACTCAACTGCGTTCTTTTTAATAGCTGAGTAATATTCCACTGTGTATATGTGCCACAGCTTTCTTGTCCATTTATCTGCCAATGGACATCTAGGTTGCTTCCATGTCCAAGCTATTGTAAACAGTGCTGTGATGAACATTGGGGTATATGTGTCTCTTTCAATTCTGTTTTCCTCAGTGATATCACAACTTCTTTATCAATTCATCTGTTAGTGGATACGTAGGTTGCTTCCGTGTCCTAAATATTGTAAATAGTGCTGCAGTGAACATTGGGGTACATGTGTCTTTTTGAATTATGATTATACTTGACTTTGATAGATGGAGGCTAACAACATTTTTCATATGTTAAAATTTAAAGCATATTGATTTAAAATGACCTTGTCTCACATGATTAACCCCATGTCATGTTCACAATGGTGATAGCTATCCTATTCAGGAGAGTTAGATGTAATTGAACAAACAACATGACATAGTCCATATATTTTGGGAACTTTGGTTTTTTCTATCAATGCTTGGGGATAATTACTGAGAATGTGTTTTAAAGATAAACTGTGCTTTGTTAAGTGTCCTAATTTTGCAGGTAATGGAATTCCTTTTGGAATCATCTTTGGTGGAACTGATTTAAATGAAGATGTTAACCAGGGAGATAAAAACAAAGTGATGGGAAAAGTCCTTGAAGAAGCCAGGTAATACTTAAGAGAATTTCACAGGAGTTAAGAGTTTAACCCTTTTGGATAAAATTCATTAACACAAAACGATGGAGTAAACCAGTAGTTTGGGAGGTTTATATCTTACCCTAAAAAACCAATTTCTTTCTTTCTTTCATTTTTTCATTCAGTCAGCACATGTTCATTTTACCAAGAATAGTCATTGTAAACAAGTTACTGGTCTTGAACAATTCTTTGACTTGAGTTAATATTGGATGAATGTTCTTAGAATGTTTGTTGCGGTGGAAGAGAGAGAATTATTGCTAAGAGTGAATAAGGGTAAACTCAAGGTTTATTAGCACACAATTTAGGGTCAACTTTGCATCGGGTAGAATGCAAATGCCCAAGTAGAATGTTTTCATTTTTACAGTTTTGTTGAGATATAATTGACATGCAGAACTGTATCAGTTTAAGGTGGTGGTTTCTTGCTAAGTCCTGTCTGACTCTTGCAGCCCGTGGACCTTAACCTGCCAGGCTCTTCTGTCCATGGGATTTCCCAGGCAAGAATACTAGAATGGGTTGTCATTTTCTTCTCCCAAGGATCTTCCCAACCCAGGAACTGAACCCAGCTTTCCTGCATTGCAGGCAACTTCTTTACTGACTGAGCCATCAGGGGTGAATGGCATAATGATTTGATTTGAAATGATTATCACAGCAAATTTAGTGAACATCCATCATCTCATATAGCTACAAATTTAATTAAATAGAAAAGAGATTTTTTTCCCCTTGTGGTGAGATTTACTTAAATGCTTAAGATTTATTCTCTTAGTTCCCCAACAAGAGATGGAACCAGTGCCCCTTGCAGTGGGGAGCATGGAGTCCTAACCACTGGCCCACCAGGGAAGTTCCTGAAACTTTGTGCCCTTTGACTAATACCTTCCTGTTTCTCCCTCCCTTACCTTCTTTCATCTTACTCATGCTTCCATGAGTTTGCCTATTTTAGATTCCACATATTGGTGGAGTCACCCTGCCCCCCCATTTGTCCATCGTCTGGCTTGTTTCTCTGAGCATAAGTATGCCCCAGTTTCATCCATGTTTTTGCAGACGGCTGGATGTCCTCCTTCTTAGAGGCCGAATGGTATTCTACTGTATGTGCATGCCACGTTTTCTTTTCTTTTTTAAAAAAATTTATTTATTTATTTTTGGCTGCTCTGGGTCTTCCTTGCTACACACAGGCTTTCTCTAGTTGGGGCGAGCAGAAGCTACTTTCTGTTACAGTGTGTGGACTCAGTGGTTGGAGCGCATGGGCTTTGTTGCTCTGTGGCATGTGGGATCTTGCCCCACCAGGGATCCAACCCCTGTCCCCTACATTGGCAGGTGGATTCTTCCCTGGACTACCAGGGAAGTCCCATGCTACATTTTATTTATCCATTTGTCTATTGATGTGTATTTAGGCTGTTTCCATGTCCCCAGTATGTGGCCAGCCTTGGATTTTTTGTGGCTCATCTGTAACCCTTCTGTGGCTAAGGAACTGTGGTTAGGGAATCCTGGCCTCTTCAAAAAAAATTGTACGATTTCTGATCCATACCAAGGACAGAACTCCAAGTTCTATTGTATAGCATAGTTCAGTTCAGTTCAGTTCATTTGCTCAGTCGTGTCCGACTCTTTGCGACCCCATGGACTGCCGCACGCCAGGCTTCCCTGTACATCACCAACTTCCAGAGCTTGCTCAAACTCATGTCCATTGAGTCAGTGATGCCATCCAACCATCTCATCCTCTGTTGTCCCCTTCTCCTCCCGCCTTCAATCTTTCCCAGCATCAGTGTCTTTTCCAATGAGTCAGTTCTTGGCATCAGATGGCCAAAGTATTGGAGTTTCAGCTTTAGCATCAGTCCTTCCAATGAATATTCAGGACTGATTGCCTTTAGGATGGACTGGTTGGATCTCCTTGTAGTCTAAGGGACTCTCAAGAGTCTTCTCCAACACCACAGTTCAAAAGCAACAATTCTTTGGTGCTCAGCTTTCTTTATAGTTTAACTCTCATATCCATGCATGACTACTGGAAAAACCATAGCCTTGACTAGATGGACCTTTGTTGGCAAAATAATGTCTCTGCTTTTTTTTTTTTATGTCTCTGCTTTTTAATATGCTGTCTAGGTTGGTTATAACTTTTCTTCCAAGGAACAATCGTCTTTTAATTTCATGCTGCTCTCACCATCTGCAGTAATTTTGGAGCCCCCCAAAATAAAGTCTGTTACTGTTTCCACTGTTTCCCCATCTATTTGCCATGAAGTGATGGGACCAGATGCTATGATCTTCATTTTCTGAATGTTGAGTTTGAAGCCAACTTTTTCACTCTCTTCTTTCACTTTCATCAAGAGGCTCTTTAGTTCTTCACTTTCTGCCATAAGGGTGGTGTCATCTGCATATCTGAGGTTATTGGTATTTCTCCCGGTAGTCTTGATTCCAGCTTGTGCTTCATCCAGCCCAGCATTTTGCATGATGTACTCTGCATATAAGTTAAATAAGCAGAGTGACAATATACAGCCTGACATACTCCTTTCCCAATTTGGAACCAGTCTGTTGTTCCATGTCCAGTTCTAACTGTTGCTTCTTGACCTGCATACAGATTTCTCAGGAGGCAGGTCAGGTTGTCTGATATCCCCATCTCTTTAAAAGTTTTCCACAATTTGTTGTGATCCACATTGTCAAAGGCTTTGGCATAGTCAGTAACGCAAAAATAGATGTTTTTCTGGAACTCTCTTGCTTTTTCGATGATCCAACGGATGGTGGCAACTTGATCTCTGGTTCCTCTGCCTTTTCTAAAATGAACTTGAACATCTGGAAGTTCATGGTTCATGTACTGTTGAAACTTGGCACCCCCAGTGCTTTTGGTTAAGATACGTGTCAGTCTTGCTCCTTAAAACTAGGGTCACAGTTGGATGTAGTTGTGTTGCAGGACCCTACTTCTTCCTGAAGACTTCCTGGAAACAAATGTGGCAATGCAACCTTTTTAACATAAGGAGTACCCTCTGTGTGTGTGTGTGTGTGTGTTTTACAATAAATAAAGGCATGAAAACAGTGCTAGCTTGCCTTGAAAGGCGATGTATCACTGTAAGTTTTCTTGTTGTTGTTGTTTTTACACCCTAAAATTTTAATGTCTTTAGATTCCTTCAGTCTGTAATGCATTGTCTTTTAGAAGGAAAATCATTCTTCTTGGGAGAAACAGTATGGAATGAATCATCTTATGATATTATCATTAGCGTTATTCATTGTGTTATTACTAAAACACACATTGATTTTTATTTGGGAGCTATTGATTGAAGTTAGTGGGCAGGGAAGTTGCATGAATCATAGATATTTTGTCTGACACAATACAGCACAGTTTTCTATAGAACAAAGTATTGAACTTGTCTAGCTTTATGACAGGTGTTTATGTGAATACTTATATTTTTTCTATAAGGTATACTTTTCAACTTTTAAATTTTATTTATTGATTGGCCTTGCCATGCACCAAACAAGATCTTAATTGCTAGACCAGGGATCAAACCTGTACCCTCTGCAGTGGAAGCTTGGAGTCCTAACCACTGGACCACCAGGAAATTCTCTCAACTTTTTTAGTATTTAAAACTCTTTTTCCTGTATGGTATAGTATGCGAACTTACTTTAGCACCCACTTTTTTGGCTTCTGAACACTGTAATAAGTATTTGGTAGTTATAAATACCAAAATTAAATAAGGAGTATTTGAAACTTGTGAAAATTGCTTAGTGAAGGCTCATCCAGGTGCCTATTAGAAAAACTTAACCTTGCAAGCAAATGCAGTAGTTTGTATGGAATGAATTGCCTCATAAAAACTTCCACGATTATGAAATCTATAGCACATTAGTAGGTTAAACCACATGAAATTACTGTTTTGTAGGTCAAAATGGTTGAATGCCAGTAATTTCATATGGCTTTTGAGCTACTTAGTGTTCCTGAAGATGTTTTTGACAAGCAGAATTGTTTGTCAGTGTAAATATGTTTTGAAATGGCAGTATTCAAGCAAAAGTGCAAAAGTGGTAGTTTTTATATTTTTCCTAAGATATGTGTTTCTGTTTATGGTTACCTCAGATAGTATTTATTTTTTACTCAAGTATAGTTGATTTCCAATGTTGTGTTAATTTCTGCTGTAAAGCAAAGTGATTGAGTTATACACATGTACATCTTTTTTAATATTCTTTTCTGTCATAGATTATCACAGGATACTGAATATAGCTCCCTGTGCCATACAGGAGGACCTTATTGTCTATCCATTTTATATATGATAGTTTGTATCTGCCAGCCCCAACCTCCCCATCCATCCCTTCCCCTTGGCAACCACAAGTCCCTTCTCTATGTCCCAGAGTCTGTTTCTGTTTCATAGGTAAGTTCATTTCTGTCAAATTTCAGATTCCACATAAAAGTGATATTACATATTTGCCTTTCTCTGTCCGACTGTCTTCACTTAGTATGATAATCTCCAGGCCTATCCATGTTGTTGCAAATGACGTTATTTCATTCTTTTTTGTGGCCAAGTAATATTCCAATGTATGTATGTACCACATTTTCATTATCCATTCATCTGTTGATGGATATTTAGGTTGTCTCCATGTCTTGCCTGTTGTAAATAGTCGAAATGAGGAAATAACCCACTCCAGTATTCTTGCCTGGAGAATCCTATGGCTAGGGGAGCCTTGTAGGCTACAGTTCATAGAGTTGCACAGAGTCAGACATGACTGAAGTGACTTAGCACATGTGATTTTAAATGTCTTTTTCTTCTAAGGATCTTTGGGCTAGGAACTCTTTTAAAAGGTTATTTGTTAGGTGAGTGTAAAGCCAGGGCTACTGTTTCTAAATAAGGGGCCACAATAAAGACTGTTATTTCTGCAGCTCTGAAATAAATGACATGTCAGGCAAGTTAATTCCAGTTGATGCTCCTGACTTCTGGAACATTTTCTCATGTACCTTTGATGAAAACCCTCCCAAGAATCTCATCCTTCCCTGTTGTCTTAAATATGCTGTAGCTCCTACTGATTCCTCATCCTGGGTGTTGAATGAGCAGGATGTGATGGTGGGGACCATTACATAGGTAGGAACAGTCACCGTCAGCTTCCGGGCTGTGATGCACAGAGTCTGCTCTGCACACCTGGGACATTTTTCGTTTCTTTTCTCCCTCTCTGCATTCGTTTCTCACCCTCACCTGTTTCCTGTTGGAATTTAGGGCAACACTGTTCCTTCTCTTGCTTAATCACTCACTCAGCCAGCAGATATTTTTGCCTTCTGGGTGCCAGACGCTCCAAGGGGCTAGAGCGGTGGATGTGAGCAGAGCAGTGTTCCAGCACATGTGGAGCTGACATTCTCACAGGAAGGGAGAGCGTCAGGCTTGCCAAATGAGTGGATTTTCCTTTCCACAAAAGCCTGAGGACTGCACTTGTGCACGTATTCATCAATGCTGTTATGGGGTACAATTCACAGTCTTAGCGTCACTGACCTCGTTCTCTGTTCAATGGCTCTTCTCGGTTCTTGGGATCTTTTCTTTTTTGACAGTGTGAGGCTGTCACTGGCCATGTGGGGTGCCCTAACGTCTTGCAGACGTTCTGGTAGTTGTGTGACTACTAGTGGAAAATAATAATAGCAGATGTGAAATGAACTAGGGACCCGGAAGTGTGGCAGGCAAGATGTTCTTTGTTTGGTTCTTAAGTTTCTCATTTTTGCAGTTTTTCTGCCAATGAAGGTTTCTACACTCCTTGTAACTGCTGTTTAGCTGTTTGTCTCTCCTCTTTATCCTCATTTTTTGAAAAAAGTTGATGGCCTTAGAATACAGTTGAGTTTGTCTTTTCATCAATGTTTGCGGGGGCCATAGAGAGCATCTCCCTGGATTCTCCAATGCCTACTGGACTCAGATGCAAGGTTTAATGTGGTCTGGTCCTCGTTGCTCATGTTTAACATACACAACAGGAAGGATTCCGTATTTCTCACTTAAGTAAGGGGCATGCGATTGGCTGTGTCTGGGATCGGTTGCTGGTTGTAAAAGTGGGAGGGGAGAAGGGAAGGCTTGGAGAAGACACAGATAAGGGAATACAAGCTCCCCTTTCTGGGTCATGCCACAGGGGAAGAATCACATAATAATGACTCCTTTTGTTGACTATGCTGTGTGTGCAGCTTGCAGGATTTTAGTTTTCCATTTGGGAATTGTATCCGGGTCCTGATCACAGAAGCACCAAGTCCTAACCACTCAACTGCCCGGGAATTCCCTATTAATGGCTCTTTGCTGCAACATTTTTTACTGCGCTGTTTTGTATAATAATGATTTTCTATTTCTACCACTCCTACATTGGTTAATTGGAATTCTACTACAAGGAAGAGTTGGCTGTTTGACCCTAGTTACTTGTTCAATTATTTGTGCAGTTACATCAACGTGGACTCATGGCTATTTATTTTATTTTATTGGGTTGGCCAAAAAGTTCATTTGGGTTTTTTGTGCCATCTTACAGAATAAAATTTTTTAATAAATTTATTTTAATTGGAGGCTAATTATTACTTTATAAGATTGTAGTGGTTTTGCCATACATTGACATGAATCTGTCATGGGTGTACATGTGTTCCCCATCCCGATCCCCCCTCCCACCTCCCTCCCCATCCCATCCCTCTGGGTCATCCCAGTGCACCAGCCCCGAGCACCCTGTCTCATGCATTGAACCTGGACTGGCGATCCATTTCACATATGATAATATACATGTTTCAGTGCCATTCTCTCAAATCATCCCATCCTCACCCCCTCTCACAGAGTCCAAAAGACTGTTCTATACATCTGTGTCTCTTTTGCTGTCTCATGTATAGGGTTATCATTACCACCTTTCTAAATTCCATATATATGCGTTAGTATACTGTATTGGTGTTTTCCTTTCTGGTTTGCTTCATTCTTACAGAATGAACTTTTGGCCAACTCAATATTTGACTCTGTAGCTCCTATTACATTTTTTGGTGTCCAAATCACCCCAGCCATGACCATCGGAGATATTTTGAGTTGACTTCTGTATCCTTTCGACAAGCCCTCTCTATATTTTGAACTGTCTTACTTTCTGGCTCCATACCTGGTTCATTCTGTGGGGATCCAGTCCTGCTTCTGGAAACACGTAACTCTCAATGAGTGGGGACATTCACATTCTTTGTCCGTGAACATTCAATAAATCTTGAGCACTTCAGCCTAGTCTTCCTTTAGCAAAGCCAGTGAACCACATATCCTGCCCCTGAATATTAAGAAGTTCCTTGCTTCTCTCATCCATCTTGCTTTCTGTCGTTATCTCTGCTTCTCTCTCCTTCCATAAAGGAACAAGAAAAATAGGAAGCTTTGAGCCTCATTTGTTTATTTCCTGCCCACACAACTTCTTTTTTTGGATGTGAGTGGAGATGAGACCTAATAGCCAACGACCATGACTAATAAAGATTGATTGCGCTGTAAATTCCGCTTCTCACCTGTCTCTCACCATTTGTTCCAGAGCGCTGTTTCTCAGTTATGTTAATTAGATTCTGCCCTAATTGTTATCATTCTTTTTGTTCACTTTCCTAGATTTGCTGTCGCTTTCACAGAGTCGATGAAGGAAATGGCACAAAGACAGTGGGTAGGTGTTCCTTTCGTGTTTTGATTTGGGCAGTGTTGGTGAAGTTGCAGGATTGGAGAACAGGAAGGCAGTTTTATTAAAGAGCTGACAAACTTCCTATTGGCACTGCCTGTCCGTGGCGGCCATCTTGGTGTATTATATTTCTCATATATTGACTTTTTTTTTAAATTTGCGTAGGTACTCTTAAACCTTCACTGATTTTTTTTCCTGATGTTCTAATTGAATAGCAAAAATAGCCCAATACCCAGTTTTCATGCTTTGTCAGTTCTTTTGTGTGCTCAGATGCGATGGTTTACAAATCACACTGTAAATGTTGCAGCATCCTCGTACACATTGAGAAAATCTGATTGCACAAGTAGTCCCTTAGATGGCACCTGGAGTTTCCTAGGCTGGACTCTTATTTGATGAGCATTAACAAGCAGAGGGCTTTGTCGCTCTGCAAGTTAATGCCCTTATTGGCTTTCTGAATTCATTACAACTTGGGGGACAGGTGAGAGGAGCTGGCAGGAGTCTAAATCCTCTGTAGAGCCCTGCTGGAGCCGGTGTATGCAAAACTAGAGAAAAAAGCCAGCCGAAATGCCGCTTTCCTTGGGTGGACCGTAGGCACGAGGCTGTTTTCTTAGGTGGTGAACCCCTGCAGTGTGCCTGGGCCACCAGGATTGCTGGCCCCTGGGCTTTGCCAGCCAATCATTGTGCACAGCACTTACACCCTTGTCATCTGGAGACATTATTCCTGTTGGTGGCATTTTGCTGGCTATGTGCATCCTTTATGAGGATTTCAACTCATAAAACCTTATGCTTGGAAACGGCTACAATGCAACAAGGGCACGCACAGTCTTTTGTGGGAATGTGGTCCTTTCCCAAAGCCCAGAGTACCGCATGCACTTGAAGATCCCCCGCAGCCAGAGTGGGGAGAGTCTTTTTTTTTTTTTCCACCTCAAACCTCCCAGGCAGAGAATCCGAGGGGGCATTTTGCAGTGCAATGTAATGAATGAAAAACAGCAAGCTTCCTGGCTGCTAGTTTCATGTCTGTATCAGTTTGACTATTCATCAGCCTTACAGCAGTGATATACCAGTGATTCTCAAAGGGGTTTCCCTGGGACTCTCTCAGGATCTCTACAGAGTCAAACCAATTTCCTTCATAATGCTCAGACTTTACAGGCATGATGAAAGGCAAAAACCTTTTTCACCATGTGGAGAGCACAGGTGAGGAAAACACTTGATGCCTTCATCCTCATGAAGGCAGGGGTACCCATGGATTATTCACCACCACCCACTTATAGTTAAAAAACAAGAGCCAGTTTCGCTTAAGAATGCCCTTGATGAAGCATAAAAATTATTGATTTTCTCAAACATTAACCTTGGAATACATTTTTTAAAATGTTTTGTGTGATGACACGGGAAGTATACATCAGCTGTTTCTGCTGGGTCTGAGTGAAGGATGGGGTTATCTTGAGCAAAAGCCCTGGTGGGATGTTGAGGTTGTAGACTGAACCAGTTACTTCTTCATAGGATTTTTTTTTTTTTTTTTAATCTGAAAGACTGGTAGCCAAATTATGTTACCTTAGACTTGGGCATCTGGCAGTCATTTAGTCATTTCCTTCAAAATGAGACAATTGAGTGAAGTTGCTTCCAGAAAAATAACAAGTAGTATTTGTTGCCCGTGATACCATTTGAATTTTCAAGCAAAAATTAGTATTTGGTAGAAAATCCCAAGGACAGAAGAGCCTGGCGGGCTATAGACCATGGGATGGCAAAGCGTTGGGGGTGACTGAGAGGCTGAGCACCCACACAAGCTGCCAAGAGGCAGACCACTTCCCCGTGCAGCCTTTCCTGATGAGATCAGCGGTCATGTTAACAAATGAGACTTCTTTTTTGGATGCTGTTTAATGAAATGGTTCCATGTTAGGAAGACCTCTGTCACTCAGTCAACCAATATTTTTCAAAAGACTAATAGGTGGCACTCCAGGATGATACATAAATAACAGAACCATCAAAGTGCAAGATAGACCTATGGATTTTAATGTATCAGAATGTGATGTAATTTCAGGTTCCGTCTTGCAACTCACATTTAAGAAATAACCATTTGTTGCATTTTGGTGTCATCATTTCAGTTGCTCAGTCGTATCTGACTCTTTGTGACCCCATGGACTGCCCCACGCCAGTGGACTTCCCCATGGACTTCCCTGTCCATCACCAACTCCCAAAGCTTGCTCAAACTCATGTCCATCGAGTCAGTGATGCCATCCAACCATCTCATCCTCTGTTGTCCCCTTCTCCTCCTGCCTTCAATGTTTCCCAGCATCAGGGTCTTTTCCAATGAGTCAGTTCTTCGCATCAGGTGGCCAGAGTATTGGAATTTCAGCTTGAGCATCAGTCCTTCCAATGAATATTCAGGACTGATTGCCTTTAGGATGGACTGGTTGGATTTCCTTGTAGTCTAAGGGACTCTCAAGATTCTTCTCCAGTACCGCAGTTCAAAAGCATCAATTTTTTGGTGCTCAGCTTCCTTTATAGTCCAACTCTCACATCCATACATGGCTACTGGAAAAACCACAGCTTTGACTAAATAGACTTTTGTCGGCAAAATAATGTCTCTGCTTTTTAATATGCTGTCTAGGTTGATCATAGCTTTTCTTCCAAAGAGCAAGCGTTTGGTGTCATATCCAAGAATAAAACCCATAATGATCTGAAAAGACTCAGGAAAGGCTCAAATTAAAATACTCCTCCCCGTTTCAATTACCTATCAGCAAGAAGCAGAATTTTCTTTCTATACTTCAGCCTAAACAACATATGGAAACAGATTGAATAGAGTAGCAAATATGAGACTCCAGCTGTCTTCTGTTAAAGAAAGTGTAGTCGCTCAGTCGTGTCTGACTCTTTGCGATCCCATGGACTGTAGCCTACCATGCTCCTCTGTCCATGGGATTTTCCAGGCAAGAGTACTGGAGTGGGTTACCATTTCCTTCTCCAGAGGATCTTCCCAACCCAGGGATCAAACCTGGGTCTCCCGCATTGTAGACAGACGCTTCCCTCTGAGTTATGAGGGAAGTCCGTCTTCTATTAAGCCAGACATAAAAGAAGGCTTTTCCTTGTTGAAGCATATTTCTCCTTCATGAGTTCCCCCCTTCTCTAATTTCTCAATTTTTTAACATTTATTTTTTAATTGGAGAATAATTGCTGTACAGTGTTGTATTGGTTCCTGCCAGTCGTAACGATATGTGTGTATACATATATCCCTCCCCTCTTGAGCCTCCCTTCCACCCTACCCTCCCACCCCTGTAGGTCATCACAGAGCACCAGGCTGGGCTCCCTTAACTTCTCAATTTAAACAGCACCTTTGTCCATAAAATCTATGTGTCTCCAAAATGGGTAGAGATCTGTTCACTGCTGTTATTGGTTATTTTTGCTACATAACAAAGCTCATCAAATGTAGTGCTTTAAGGCAAACATTTATCATGCGTTCTTTGTGTTGTCTGGGCATTTCTGGCGGAGGTCAGCTCAGCAAGGCTGGGTGTTCCAGTGTGGCTTTGCTCACATGCTGGAGCCCCTCAGCTGGGCTGGCTGGGACGCTTGCTGTCTCTCTCTGTGTGGTCTCCTGCCCTGTATTAAGCTCAGTGGCAGGAGAGCATGGGCACCAGTGCATGAGCTGGCTGCATGCTTCTGCCTCTGTGATGTTTTCTCCTGTCGGCCAGAGCAGGTCAAGAATGGAGACGTTATCGCTACCTCATTACAGGATGATCTTTAAGATAGCCTTGTAAAAGCTTGGATTCAGGGAGGGGGTGATCTGTGGTCCATTTTAATAATCCGCCAGTTAGCGTTTATCCCTCATGATTATAACGCTTCCTTCCTTTGCTTTTCTCCCCGTGTAGTTGTGAGCTCTTTGAGGTTAGAGACCAGATATAGTTCACCCCATTATCCCGGTAGCTTAACACCTCCCATTCAATACATTTTTATCCAGTTGACTGTCAGGAATGGATCCTTCTTCTTTTTTTGGATCCTTCTTTAAAACTTTTTATTATAGAAATGTCCAAGCATGCACAAAAGTAGCAAGAATGGTAGGGTGAAAACCTATACACCTACTATCTACTTACCATTCTCCAATCCTAATCTCTCATTCTCTACTCACAACTCCTACACACACACACACAGACACACACTTCTTTTTTCTGGAATATTTTAAAAAATCACAACCACCATGCCATTTTACTGTTTTAATTTTCCAACCCAGCCTTTGTCCTGAACAACTGATTGTGGTGGTCAGCTTCCAGTTTTTGAGTCTATAAACCCCTTTGGTTGGCCCCAATAAAAGTCCCCTAAGTAGCATTAAAATTTGATGAATGTTTTCTCTTTCATTATTTTTTTTTTAACTTTTTATTGTATATTGGAGTATTGATGATGAACAATGCTGTGATAGTTTCAGGTGCATAGCAGAGTGACCATTCCATTTTACCTGAGCACATGTGCCATTTACCTGCAAATACGGTTTTTCCAGTAGTCATGTATGGATGTGAGAGTTGGACTATAAAGAAAGCTGAGTGCAGAAGAATTGATGCTTTTGAACAGTGGTGTTGGAGAAGACTTTTGAGAGTCCCTTGGACTGCAAGGAGATCCAACCAGTCCATCTTAAAGGAAATCAGTCCTGAATATTCATTGGAAGGACTGACACTGAAGCTGAAACTCCAACATTTTGGCCACCTGATGCGAAGAACTGACTCATTTGAAAAGACCCTGATGTTAGGAAAGATTGAAGGCAGGAGGAGAAGGGGACGACAGAGGATGAGATGGTTAGATGGCATCACCGACTTAATGGACATGAGTTTGAGTAAACTCCGAGAGTTGGTGATGGACAGGAAGGCCTGGCGTGCTGCGATTCATGGGGTCGCAAGGAGTCGGACACAACTGAGCTACTGAACTGAACTGAACCGAACCTGCAGATATTCTTGGGTAAAAGCTTTTTTTTTTTTTTTTTTTTAACATAAGCTGCCTGTTATGGATCC